TATCTTCATGGACAAAGATTTGTTATTGTTACTAACCATTTCGCTTTAGTATATTTGAAAAATAACTCAAACCCTGTTGGCAAACTTGGACGCTGGATTATGACTCTTAACTCATTTGACTTTGATGTTATTAACTGACCAGGAAAACAACACTCAAACGTAGATACTTTAAGCTGGATAACCCATTAATAACAAAAGAACAAAACTTTAAATACAGCAACAGAAATAGCATTCACAACACTTCTTAACGATAACAGATTTTGACCATTATGGACCCAACACATACCACTCCTTCACACAATACTTAACAGATTTAATAATGCCAACACAACTTACTAAAAAATAACAAATTGAAATAAAAAGAAAATCAAGATATTTTATTATAATCAAAGGACAACTATACAAAAAAAATAGAAAAGAACTGAATCGACCATTTAAAGTAATAAAAAGAAATGAAATAGAAACAATTCTATACTATGTACATTTAGATCCATTGGCAGGACATTTCGCTATAGAAGAAACCTATAGAAGAGTTAAAATAAAATATTATTAGCCTCAAATGTTCGAAGACGTAAGGCAATATGTGAAGACATGCAATAAATTCCAGCGAAGAGGCAAAAATAAACGTACTAAACCTTTACATTCAATCAAGGTGGGACAGCCTTTTGACAAAGTTGGAATGGATATTGTTAGACCTTTACCTAAAACAAAGAATGGAAACTCCTACATTGTTATGATTACAGAATATTTAACCAAGTGGCCTGAGACACGTGCAATACTTGATGCTAAGGCTTCTTCAGTAGTTTCGTTTTTCTATAAAGATATTATATGCTGACATGGTTGTCTAAAGATACTATTAACAGACCAAAGAACACATTTCGTTAATGAAATGCTTAATTCCTTGTGTGACAAATTGGGAACAAAACATAAGTTATCATCCGCTTATCACCAGCAAACGAATGGGCTAGTCGAGCAATTCAACCAAACGTTGTGCGAGACTTTAGCCAAATTCGCCAATGACCACAAAGATGACTAGGATAACTATATTCCTTATCCCTTTTCGCTTATAGAACAAAAAGACATGAGACAATGAAACATGAGCCATTTTATTTAATGTATGGACGCGAAGCCATTATTCCAACAGAAATGTTAAATTTAACCTTGCAAGCACAGCCAATAGCTTCTGATTTTCGTGATGAATTGCTAAATCAAATACAAAATATTATCGGGACTTTTGAGGATAATAAAACAAAAGCTCAGAAAAATATAGAACAGTCACAGTTAAAACAAAAAAATCGACATGATAATAACTTAAAGGAGGCACAATTTAAACGAGGTGACTCGGTTTTATTATATAAGAGCAATTTACAGGACAAAAAGAAATTAAAAGAGCGATGGAAGGGACCTTACATAGTACATGATGTTCTAGGCAATGGTGTCTATAAGATAAGAACAATAGATGATAAAGTGCTAAAAACTCCCATTAATAGCAAAAGATTGAAATTGTATCATGAACGATCTGCCTAATCTATTTTAACTATATGCGGTTATTTATTTTACATATGCATATATATATATATATATAAATATATACACAAAAAAAAAAAAAAAATTTTTATGGAGCACTACTCAAAGAATCTAAAAAAATCATTATGCCAGTTCTTGGAATTATGGCAACAAGAAGCCAAAAATAATGAAATCCTACAAATTACTTCCTCCGCGATAACTATTTCAAATTCAGAAAATATAACAACCATGACAATACCATCTGTGGTACATGAATGCTTCAACAAAACAACACTTGAGAAATGTTAAGAAGACCTTGACTACACTTCGTCGGAGATAATCCCTTTTCCTAGCTACATTGAACAACCCGAAGAACAAAGATTAATTACAATAATAGAAAATATTAAAGAAACTGAGTTTAAAACTAATAAGATAATATACCAAGTGGAAACTTATTATTATTTGGGAAATCTACTGGCCAACAGTGGATAGATAACTGAAGATAAAATTGTGTTGCAAAATAATTTCTCAATCCGAAGATACAAAGAAATAAAAAAGATTTCACGATGAGTTTTTAAATTATATATCATAAGAGGAATTTCAACTTTATACCAAGCAAAATTTATTCGACCTACATACCTGGTACATATGAAAGAAAGTGAATTTTACAAACAATTAATTCCACATGCAAGACAATGAAAACAGCAAGAATTAGAACAAATATTAAACTCGCAGGAGCTTGTAATATAAAGGAGACATATGTTACATTTAATAATTATATGTATTACTTGTATCGAAAGACATATTGATTTTATTAAATAAATATTTATTATTAGTTTCTTTTTTATTTTATTAGTTTATTAGCATTTATTATTATTTTACATTTTATTTTATTTTTAGCATTTATTATTAGCATTTCTATATATGTATTGCTTATTATTTTATTACTATTATTAATTATAAGAAAATTAGCTAACAAAATTTAAGTTAGCGCAATGAAGATCACTGGCCATTAATGTTCGTTGGACATTATTGTTCACTGGCCATTAATGTTTGTTGGATATTACTGTTTACTGGCTATTAATGTTCGTTGGACATTATTGTTCACTGGCCATAATTGTTCTGTTAAAAATTTAGTATATAAGTGGCGGAATTTCCTTTAATAAAAAAAATAATGGTTTTTCAACAATAGTTTTTAACACAAATAACAAAGAATTAAATACCCAAAATAATAAACAGTTCATCTAATCCTTGAAAAATCCGATAATTCCCTAAACACAAAAACATCATTATTATTTCCCTTTACATTTTTATTATAATAACTCCGAAAGATATAATTAATAAACATACCTGATTGTATAGAGTGCCGACGTTGCAAACAATACGATATCTATATTATATTAGATTAGAAATTCTGATTATTATATTAAATTAGTAAAAATAATAAAACACAAACCTTCTACTTACCTTAAAACTCCATTTATAACCCATAAACACCAAAGAACTGCTATTAACATATGGTGCCTTCTGCCAGAATCTAATAGAAGAATTTAGCTAATTTTGCATGAGCCTTAATAAAGAAAAATCTCATAACAATTAATTTCCTTGTAACTGTTATTTCCCTCCTGGATTAAACCTTCGTCTTTGGCATCCTACAGAAGATTCAGTTAGTTCCACAATTAATAATATTCAAGAAAGTGAATTACAAAACAATAATTCAAACCTAGCCAAAATTACCTTTCCGATATCCTTAAATTATAATTCTAGGCCAGGACATATAGGATTACTGGACACATCATTTTTGGGCAATTTAATTTTCAACAACGAATCGTTAAATCTTGACTGATTATTCCCAGAAGAAAATTTAATGGCAGCTCAAGCAGTAGATCTTCAAAATCTAATTGCAGCATTGCAAGCGTTGCAAGGAATTTTGCAACCTCCAGGAGCAGTAAATGCAAACAATGCTATTATAAATTTACAAGCCCAAATGCAAGCAAACACCAATGTATTGAATAATCCTCTTGGAAGGGAAACTCGTGTGGATGAAATCCCCAATTATCAAGGAGGAAACCAGGATCCCATTGGATGGCTGGAAGAATTCACCCGGGCCTGCAATACTAATGGAATCGTTAATGCCAGAAAATTAGAAGTGGTGCTCGCTTACCTTAAAGGACCGGCTTCTACATGGTGGACTACTAATTAAGTATTACCTAATAATAATGTAAACAAGATTAATGCATGGGATGGAAATAACAACAATACAGATTTTATACAGAATTTTCCTACTGCCTTTCGTTCTCAAACCTTAGTTAAAATCTGGACTACGGAATTAGAATAATGACATCAAAGACCTAACGAAACTGTTGATGCATATGCCTGTACTATACAGGAGTTATATCGAAGAATAGAAACCCCTCAGTTTGCATATCCAGCAGTGATGAAAGCTCAAAGACTTGTAAATAGTCTCTTATCAGAATTACATTTAATGGTGAAGCCTCATAATGACCAAACTTGGGATGCTGCACTCAACAGAGCCAAGTCTTATGAATTAACATATCAAGACCAAAATGCTGTAGCTGCATACATGAATAAGTATGGTACCACTACACCATCCACTCAGACCAATGCTCTTAATGAAGCCATAGCTAATTTGACACAGCAAATCTAGCATATGAATTTTGGAAGAAGGGACTTCTGTAATAATGGATATCACAGAAATGATGGGTATCAGAGGAATTATGGATACCAGAGACCACAAAATTTTCAGTCAAACAATGCGTTCCCTGCTATTACGCCTCAACAAAACAATCTTATCTGCTATCTATGCAATCAGCCTAGACACATAAGAAGAAATTGTCCTAATAATTTTAATATTTCTTACGATAATCCAGCCTTTCAGCATAATCAAACTTCGGGAAGCAATGCTACGAATATGGTCCCCTTAGTTCCACCAGTACTAAATAATACTCCTAACACAGTGAATAATAAGATACAGAAACTGCAGTTACTTCAGTTATTATCACAACTGGTACAGGATGACACCTAAGAACAGCATTTAAACTAAATGGTGTACCTCATGAGGGTGAAGGTACGGAACTATTGGTTGTTCCCTCGAATTTATCATTATTCTAGCAACGAGAACATGATCCAAGGCTGCTCAAGAAACTCCTTACGAGCGATATGAAGAAACTGAAAATAAAAAGAGAAACGATGATGAAGGAGAAGTCCAGCAATTAACCAGTCAACAAACAAATAAAAAGGTTAAAATGAAACCATTGAAAAAGAAGTTACCTTTGGTGCCACCTATATATAGTATGGTTGATTCTTATACACCACAAAGATTTTTTGATCAACCCACGAATATTAAGAATGGTCAACTAATTGCAATAAATCCAAAATTTGGGCAAGCTGTAATGAAAGCGATACGAAAGCCTATAGCAAAGAAACCTAAAAAGCAAATTATTGTGGAAGAAAAACCCAATGAACCTGACAACATGGAATCCAATTTGTCAAAAAATGACACCACAAAGAGAGCAATGGCATTGTACTGTAACGCATATATAGACAGAGTAAAGATACCTCTTATAATTGATTCTGGTTCTGCAGAATATATTATATCCTTGAAGTTACTAAAGGATTTGGACATGAAAATAACACAAGCATTGAAAACTATCATGGTCAATGTCAATGGAGAAAAAAGAAGACCATTAGGAGTAGTAACTAATATTCCTTTAAAAATTAATAACCACATAATTCCTTTTGACGCAGTAGTTACAGAAGCCGAATCCTATGCTGCTATTGT